TTTACAGGTTCAAAATGTCAACATAGGATTAGGTTTGACGGATTCGAAATTTACAGGAATTTTGAATTTGCAAATCCTAACCCTATCCTTTAGAATTTTTGAATTCGTAAACTTTAGCCCTATCCTTGAAATCTTTAGGAGCTGTAGAGGCTAGGGGACAACAACTGAAGCCTTAGGACGGACTCGACTCAGGACTCTGAAACCCCGAGAAATGATACGGACTCATTTTACGATTACGCTCCCGCAACCACGTAAAAAAATCATACCGCGTCCCGTCCGTAAACCCTAACCCTATCCTTTAAATTTTGAATTCGTAAACCGTAACACTATCCTGTAAATTTCGAGTCTGTCCACCCTAATTCTATATTTAAATTTTCAGTTCGTAAACCCTAACCCTATCTGTTAGACTTTGAATTCGTTAACCCTAACCCTGTGCTTTCAATAATCAGTTGGTAAACCCTAATCCTATCCTTTAAATCTTGAATTCGGTAACCCTAACCCCATCCTTGAAATTTTGAAATCGGTAACCCTAACCCCATCCTTTAAATCTTGAATTCGTTAACCCTAACCCCATCCTTTAAATCTTGAATTCGTTAACCCTTACCTTAGCCTTTAAATTTTGACTTCTTCAACCATAACCTTATGCTTTAAATACTCGGGGAACCCTAACCATAACCTTTAAATTTTGAATTCGTAAACAGCCTCCGAATAAATCTGAATAACTAGCCTTGAGCTTGTTAAGTGAAATGAATTTTGCTTTGTTTGGCGAAGTTTGACGGCCACTCCAAATACGGTGTCCGTCATGCCGTTTTCATGCACAGCAACTAGGGAAATATGAAATGGTCAGTACTCGTCTTTGGTTTTTAGAAATTCTGGCAAAATCTGCAGGTAGATATTGACAGTTTTCTGAGATCGAAAAAAAGGACCTTCTTGACTGAGTAATGTTGACTTTTTGCTGTGCCTTTTTTAACGCGAATTCCGATGTTAAATTTATGGCAAATCATGCACGGATTAACAAAAATGACACCATTAATTTTCAGTCAGATCAAAATTAAGTCTAACGTGGTCTACCGTGGGGGGAACTGATTGGGTCGTGCGCCTCTTGCAGCGAGTATGGGGTCAAACCAAAAGCTGGACTTATTTGATATCCATTGCATTCTCGATGTCATCTCCCGCTGTTGAAGTTTCAGCAACTAGGGATGTTCGTGTCTTTTAAGCTGATTTTATCATTTTCCTGCATGTATTTTTCGGGCAGACCTGATAGGCCAGTCACAGATCAACCATTCACAAGAACGAACAGCAGTTGCAACGCATCTGTTGCAACGTTGGGGCGACCCAAGAAGGTATGGGACGAATCTTTTATAAAAATTACCCTTTGAAAATGTCCGATTATTCTGCATTCGAAAGCTAACAAAATTTGTTGTTACAACAAATGAAAGTGCATTTCCATCAATAAAATAGGGAGGCGAGTGCCGCCTGACTGTGGCAGCCCTGGATCTGTTACTGGCAAATCATCAATAACAAACATTCACTGTACGTCTCACAGCTTTCATAATAAGATCACTTCGAAGAAACGTACCCGAACACGGTTGGGATCTTTTTCCCCCTGCCAAAAATTTAAGAAAATAAGATTATAAAAGGGAAATAAATCACCATCAATCCTTTAGCTGACTGTATTCATACCTTGAAAATTGCCTCGTTTGTTCTGCGCCCTGGGAAATGGAAAAAAAAAATAGTGGCGAGGATAAAATGCAAAAGTTATGCGGTGTT